GGTGTGATATGATGTTGTTTAAATAAAATAATAGTATCTTGTTTGGCTACTGGATGAACTGGGTAAAGTATAAAAAAGAAACACAAGATCTAAATTCTTCTTACAGAGTCCTTATCAGACAAGTGGTGGATTGAAGCTGTGGGGATACTTGCTGGAATTAATTACATATGCATGATTTTATTTATATAATTTTAGATAATAAAATATTATCTTCATTTTTCATTCTTGTCGTATGCTACGTTGATTTCGGAATCTGTGAGTATCATCATAGTTTGTCATCTGTTTGTTTGACATTTCTTTCTGGTTTATGCTGCTACTGAGTTTTTATCAAATATGCACCAAATATGTGGCGGTTCGTAATGGTGCTTTATGAACAAGACAGGAAAGTTCGTCTACACATGTAGGGAGTTTAATTTTAATCTCTTACCCTCTTTTTTCTGTTTGATCATGGATATTTTGATTTGGTTATTGATTATGTTCTACTTACCATGTTTTTGTGTGAGGATGTATATAATTATATCCTTTTGTTTGAAATGATTCAATCTTCTCAATTCGATGCTAGTATTAGGTAAAAGGATTGAAAAGTAGTTTTCTTTGTATGGCATGAGGTTTAATGCCACATTGTTATGAATGGTAATCTGCTAAACACCGTTCCTCAGATCAATTGGTCTAAATTGTTTTTGGGTGTTTGCAGAGGATACCTGATAACTTTGTTAAGAGATTCAGGGATGACCTTTCTGTTGCTGCTGCACTCACTATTCCTGATGGCCATGTTTGGCGTGTAGGAATAAAGAAAGCTGACAACAAGGTCTGGTTTAAGGAGGGTTGGCAGGAATTCGCCGAACGTTACTATATCCGTGCTGGATACTTTTTGATATTCAGATACGAAGGAAATTCCGTTTTCAGTGTTAGTATATTTAACTTGTACAACTCGGAAATTAACTATCAGACTAATGCTCTCGTTGGTAATCAATACAATCTTGGAAGAAGATATCCATTTGAAGAACTTGAAGACGATGAATGCCTCTCTCCGGAACTGCCTAATTTATTTGGTGGGTCCTAAACTTAATAGCTGCATAAACTGGAGTGGTGAAGTCAATCCTCATGCATCAAACGGTGTTAATAATCAGCCTATTCAGGGTATGGCCTTTCATTTACTGTATTTGAACTTAAAGAGATTCTGCTAATGAAGCAAAATTGCATTCTTCAGGTGCAGAGCTACCAAAACCGGAAAAACCGGTGAGGAAAAAGATGAAGTTTGAGCCTGGTGAGTCCTCCTTTGTTTTGTGGTGTGTAAATATTTTGGAATTTCTCATCAGTTGTTCGATGAAATGTAGATGAAGAGACTCCATCTCTCGTACATGAGAATGACACGGAAATGCACAATAGATTTTATGAAAGTGCTTCAGCCAGAAAGAGAATTGTGACTGCTGAAGAAAGAGAGAGAGCAATTAATGCAGCCAAAACATTTGAGCCGACAAACCCTTTCTGCAGGGTCGTCTTGCGACCATCATATCTATATAGGGGATGTATTATGGTAAGCATTGAATTCAATGTACATGCTCTTTTGGTTTTGGTCTATATAGCCTTGCCTAAGTGTACATTCTGATTTTCTCTATTGCAGTATTTACCATCATGCTTTGCCGAGCAACATTTAAGTGGGGTTTCTGGATTCATTAAACTTCAGCTTCCAGATGGGAGACAGTGGCCTGTTCGGTGTCTTTATAGAGGAGGCAGGGCTAAGTTCAGTCAAGGATGGTATGAATTTACATTGGAGAATAATTTGGGGGAAGGAGATGTCTGTGTCTTTGAACTTCTCAGATCGAGGGAATTTGTGCTCAAAGTTACTGTATTTCGTGTAATGGAAGGTGCTGGACTTACATACCGATCTCAATAAAAAGCCAACCGTGTTAAACCAGTTTAGAGTATAGTGGCTGCCTGGCTAGTAATTTAAGGACTGTCAAACCCTTCTTTTCAGGTGACTTCTAACTTTTCCAAGTTCATAAAAAAATTAGCTTCTGTGCCATTTTGATGTTCTGAAGGTTTTTACAATGGGACTTTTTCCCTGCTTACGAGTGATACCAAGATACGAAATTTTTGTCTTGACTAGCGTCTGTAAATAGATTGTCCCATGAAGTAGAACCTGAACTGGATTGAAAAAATGGGTTCGAGACTCGATTTTCCAGTCTTCTAGATTTGGTGAGAATTTTCATATTCTGGCTTTGGCTGAAACTCCTTATGATACTTTCATGCTGTAGTCTTAGTTTCATATATTGCTTTGGATTTTCAGAGTTTATGGGAGAAACCAAGTGATGTTCTTTTACATCAGTTGTCTCTATCTTCCCTAGTTTTATCTCATAATGATGGATTAGTGATGTTTGTCTGATATGCGCTTGCTCGTTAAAAGATGCTTTTCATTTATCGATCGGCCAAAATACTCTCATGTTTCTCGTTCTACTGCCTATATTTGAGTACAGTCTTATGCATGTGGGTACATTGTTGGTGTCTGAGTTGAATTGGAAGGAAATCATGGCTATATATTCTACTGCCTGCAAACTTCCATGTTACGTGTTAGCCTCGTAGTTAAGCTAGGTAGTCAAACGAGTACAATGAATTTCATGGAAACTATACTTGAAACTATATGTATGTATACATATATAGCTATCGGCATCACGAGTTGGTTCAGTCGATTGATTAATTCATCAAGGTTCGAGTTTCACCAGCCTCGCTGAATTCGGTGACATGCCCTTCTCGACTAAATTTTCTTAAAAGATTTCATAAACTATATCAAACTATTGTATCGCATATTTTCGGATCGAATCATAGTAACATTCATGTCATAAACTATAACAGATCGAATCATAGTAACATTCATGTCATAAACTATAACAGATCGATTAGTTTTGATATTGGGCATACCAATTGGTATGCATTCTTTTGGTCTTAAATTATTACCGATTTGTTTAAATTCCGTTTTTAATAAAATTTTGGTTTCTTTTGATTATTTCTATATCACATGGATTAATATGTACTTGTTAGTACAAGATTTTAATGGTTTAAATCAAAAAGTAATATTTTATTTTTATAATTACATTTAAATATATATAATCATTTAATTAATTTTTAAATCAATAATTTCATATTTTATGTTTACCTATAAATATATTTATACGCATACAATTGAAGTGTATAATATATAATATTATTTTAAAATACTAATATACTTGAAATGTTACATTAAAGTACATTTATATATACTAACATCAAAATAAAAATTACATTTCATCTACCGATATAATATTGAATTCGTCCCATGTTTACCGTCAACGATAGATTCAAAAATATTTTTGAGTTAACAACACAAATTTTTTAATCGAATGAGCACAAATAAAATTTTAGAGTAGACATGATCTATAAAATAGATAATTAACAGAAGAAAATTCAAATTTTAAAATGGACATACGTTCACTTTAATAAAACTATAAATCCGCGGCGGCTGTTTATAATTACATAATTATAAACATTCTGTAAAAATTAAGGGTAAATAATTACATAAATTTTTTGATTAATGTATTAAATAACAAGCATTTATTAAATACAAAAACCCAACCGAATTACGGTTATTACAAACATGTCTATATTTTTACGTAAATTATATAGAGCTGTTTGTAGTAAACTTAGTGAAGAACAGCCCAGATATCTTGGCCGAGCAGTTTAATCTTCCTTTTCACTTCAATCTTCACCGTTGAACCATAGCCGCCGTCCATGGATTTACGATGAAGAAACACCACATCACCGGCTCTCACGTCTTTGCCGCCAAGAAACTGAAGCCAACCAACGGAAACAATGTCCTCGCTTTGCGGGAAGAAGGAAGGGATATCCCAAGCTTTCCCAGTCTCATCAACGGCGGTGATGTTAAAAAACCGACCACCTTCGAAGGGGACCGGGAAGACACTGAATGAATCAGTGGGGATCAGTAAGCACTTCTCAATGTCGGTTTTCGTTAACAACTTCGAAATGATCGACATTGTCGAATTACGGAATCAAAATCAAGCTTCTTAGTTTTAGTTTGCTCGATGATTTGCTGAATTGATTCTTTGAAGTTGCTCTTCTTCTCAGTTTCAGCTGATGGTTTGACTGTTTCTTACACTGATTTTCTTGTGGGGGGTGAATCAAATGAAGTTGGTCAAAGACTGAAAGGGATCCCATACTCCACGTCTTCTTGCGATTTTCTTTTCTTGAAAACCAAACAGAAAATTACATCAAAACAGAAAGTTATCCACTAATTTTCATGTTAATTTTTATTTTTTTGTATAAATTTACAAGCTTTTTATAATTAGAAAAAGAAAATCCAAGGAGTGCTAATAAAACCTAAACATCAAAATAAAAGTTACTGCTACGACCTCAATTAATTTATTAGTTATTTAAGTAACTTTTTGTTTCCATCGAGACCGAGTTCAAACGAATATATATAGTTAATTACTACACGTCCCCAAACTAGCTTTTATTCTAATTTCATGCCTAAACTTTTAAATATTCTAATTCCATCCCCAAACTATAACTATCATTCTAAATTGGTCCCCCAAACTTCTTTGTCTAAAATTATGTCAATTTTAAGCGTTGTATATATATGGCACAGGTAACAAAGATAACTCATAAAGGAAAAGAACACACGAGAAATATTTTCCCATACCATTTTATGCATTTATAAATAATGCACATCCAAACAGAGCCTAAAGTGACTACTTGAAATGGAAGACCTCAAATTTCTGAATCATATTAACCTATAATCAACAGACACGAGGGGGCGAAACACGAAACCTGTTCCTTTTTTTTTCTCTCTTACCAACTCAGGTTAATCATACGCCTGAAGTCGAGTTTTCCAGCAATGACTTACAAGGTTCACATCAAGATATTCATTGGTTGAAAGAACCACAAAGAGGGGGGAATCAAGAGAATATCAGGCAGAGGGAGGGTACCAAGAATAGGATGAACTTTACCATGGGGCAGCTGCGGTTGAAGTACTGGCACAAAAGAGCTTCAGGTAAAGTAAATATCTAAATGCGGAGTGGACCAGTTACAGGGTCGTGAGTGGAATTGGCATCTTTATGACTCAGGGAGAGATTTGTGAATTGAGACTCAAGATCTCTACTGCTAGAGCGCCGATGGCTAGATGATAGCAGCTGTTGTTGTTGCTGTTGATTTTGGTGCTGCTGCAGCTGCTTATACAAGACTCGTAGCCTGCTGACCTCCCTCTCCAATACTTCCTGCTCAACTGATCATAATGATTGCATAATTTAGTTTTCATTTAATACCATTTTGTCTTAATCAACTAAGGTAATTACTGTCCATTACAAGACAGATCAATAATGGCCCCTTAGACACAGTCGCCTTTTTCTACATACATATTTATGCTTTCAGAATATAGAAAGTAGGAACCCTTTCTTCCTAGACACAAGTAAACAAACAAGAACAACGTATGGACCACAATATCCTATGTACCCCCTAAAAATGAAGGAAAATCTAATAGATGTAGCTTGCTCATGAGTCCAGACCTAGCTTAACGCAAATATTTCTATATTTTATTAGTGTAACAAACAAAATTATATCCAAAGTCCTTACCCGCCATTTTAGAATGAAACAAGAGAGTTCGTCTTGTCTAACCAACACTCAACTATCTCAACCTGACTCTCCAATCACTTTTTTGGTCAAAGTTTGTATTTCCTTTAAAAAGCATTTTCTTTGGCAACTAATGGATTATAAAATCTAGCAGGATCTACCAACACCTATGATCAGAATTCATATAGGTCCAAAATATGGGCTACATAAGGTATATAAAAATGGTTAACATGAAATTGTAATTCTGAAAAAAAAAAGAACATGTAATTGTGGCATTAGAGGTCATTGGTTGGACACATACGATATTTTATAACCTGCTCCTGAGCTAAACCCTCTAACCGTTGCTTGAGAGCTTTGTTCTCCATGCTAAGAATGAGATTCTGCTGGTTGAGAAATTCAAGCTCAGCTGAAACTTCAGATCCTTCTGCCTATTAAGAGAAACAATTAACACTTCATAGTAAGGCATACTGTTTCATAGTAGATTTTTAAAAACTTCTGTTTCAACCTATACTTGCCTGCAAAGCTTGAACATTTCTTTCCAGCTCAGCTATGTACTGAAGTTTACGCACCCTAGATCGTTGAGCAAACTGCCTGCAATGAACAGGAACAAAGTACTATAATCAAACATTTTCTACCAACATAGGGCATAAGCATCTGTATAAAAAACAAATATGAATTTTGATAAGAAAATTTCAAGAATCACACAACAAAACTAAATCAAAATCACTGGTTATTAAATAAGGAAATATCAACAAAATATTAAACACCATGCACAACAAAATAAGAAATTTGAAGAAAGAAAGAAAGAATATGTTGTGTATTCGATTTAAAAACAGATGAAAGCATAAGAGTATATACCGATGTTATCCTTTTCCATGTTTATATGCAGTATAAGCTTGCAAAACAGACTACAGAAAGCACCACCATACTCCCTATGTTCCATAATATGATAACCAAAGAGGATAGCAGGAAACCAGAAGAAAATCTATCTGCTTTGTGGCTAAATACCCAGCCAATGAACCAGAGGTACAAGGCCAAAAATGCATAAAAGTAATAGAAAGTCAATGCAACCACAAGAAACATATAATCAATGCAACCATGCTGAGAGCAGCTCTGGCTAGCATCATTTCAAAATCCCATTGCATACCAATTGATGAGCCCCTTGTCAATGTAAGCATAAAAGTGATTAATCACTAACAAGTAATGACATTAGAACTCACTGCTTGGAACATTTACTATCACTTTCAAATGCAGGAGATTTAGTGCGAGAATTATCCTTCTTCCCAGAAGAAGCTTTTGCATCAAGAGAAGGTTCAGCAGAATCTTGTTTTTCACTTGCAGTTGATGGAGCACCCTCTACATCTTGTGGTGCATGTGACGATCCTAAACTCTGAAGACTGGTATTTTCCCTGAGAGAAGGAAGTCTGTTTGGATGAGACACAACACCCAAAGAAGAATCACATGCCCTGTTCTTTTGCTTTCCCAAGTTCACATCAGTGTAGACTGAGGAAAGTCGAGCATCTTGAGATGCCCAAGATGGTGCAGTAATCATATGTTTATATCTGTAGTCATCTTGAGATGCAAAATCAATGTTAGGAACATTAGAGGCGTCAAAATATGCAAAGGAGTCGCTTGAAGAACGTCGATGACCTCCTTTGCGCACAGGACTCTCTGGCTCATTAAGAAGATCATCAAGCCAAGAAGGCTGTTCCTCTATCCGGAAGCTTTCAGAGGAAGTGCGCTGGTGATGTGTATTTCCCTCTCTAGGCTTTGGAACTGCTCTTGACCCAATAACATTGTTGGGGACGTAATCAGTATATGCGGGGGAGACCGGAGGAAATGGACTTTTTGGAGGAAGTAGAGGATGCTTTCCAGAAAACATAAAATTTCTTATATTTGTTGGACCCTTGGAATTCGCCATGGCCAAGAACAATCCCTACTGCAAAGAGCATAAGGTAGACAAGTCATGAAATAAATAATTATGAAAAGAAAAAGGATAAACATGAAGGTCCCGAGAAGAAAAAAAACACTTGCGGTGATGTGTACACAAATCGAGGGACAATAATCTCTCCATTCAGCAGAAGAAATCAGAAAATCATGCACCAAACATACTCTTACGTAGCATATAATGATCCAAACATAAAAACATCCATGTCCAGTAGACAGCACAAGCATAACAGGGAAACTGTGCATAAAGGGAAGGGTTCATAAAGGAGCACCTTGCTATCTACCCAAAATACTCGTCAAAAGGACCTGCTCGATGTTTCATATTCGAATCAAGTTCAAAATTGTTCAACGTTGTTAAAGTTCTGTAGCAAAGTCCAATTTAAAAGAAGAAAAAAAGGCCTACTTTCACCAGGAAGCAACGGAGTAAACCATTAATCGCATGGCCCAACCTTTGAATAAATTAAAAAAACAAAGCAAACAGAAAGAATTATCCCCCCCAAATGCTTATTATCTGCAACGAAATTGCCAAATACGAAGCGTCTCTACAGGAAACAGATCAAGAACAATCCTTAAAAAAACCTCTAAAAATATCTAATCATTGCCTTAAACGACACTCTTCAATTCCTTCAACAAAACTCAAAAATGCAAAGCGAAATCTCACGAATGAAATTAGAACAATGATTCTGGCAATATTTACAGCTTCTTTTTTTCAAATCCTACAATAAATTATGCTCCAAATAATCAATAAACAATAAATAAATAAAAAATACGTAAGCTAAGCAAACCAAAGCTATAGAATAGTGAAAATCCAAACACCGAAAAAACTTCGATTCTTTTGAACTTTCCATGCTTCCTCAACAACAGATTCGTTTCTGAAGTTCAGAAAAATAAATAAACAAACAAAAAACATTATTTTATGATGAATTTGTGAGATATAAAAATACAAAAATCACAACAACAAAATGAAAAGCTTACCGTTTCTGAAATTGAAGAACTCTGATTTGAAATCTAATGTCTCTAAACCGGAAGCTAACTATTTCTTAAGTTTTTTTTAAATGAAGGCCTCTTCTCAGTTCTCTCTTTCCCTGTACTTTATTTTCTATTTTTCCCTCTCTCTGCGTTGAAGGCTGTAAGTTGGGAATCAGGGCTGGAATTAACAAATAAAATCTGACAAACATTTTCCCTTTTAATCCCTTTAAAATACTAATATTACATACTAAACCTCGCCCATTCTTTTATTTTATACTTTTGTATGATAGTGTTTCAGTCTTTACCAACACTTGAAGGACTATTTTTTAAAATATTAATCTAATTTTAAAATAAAGTTGAGGATAAATAAGAATTTTTTAGCTTAATTATATAAATTTAAGTGATTGAATTGAAGTTTTATTGTTTTTATTTAAAAATATAATTTTATCATTAATTTAATTTTATAAACTTAGTTTTTGTAGGACTAAACTTGAGATTTTACTATTTTAATTTTATAAATAAGAACTTTTAATTTAATAAATTATTTTTTTATATTTTATCACATTTCTATTTTATTCATTAATTTTATACTTTAAAATCGAAATATTGGGAGGTTAGATGTAAAGGAAAATATGAGAATATGTTATTTAAGAATCGAAATGTTGCTAAATTGCTGGGCCGTAATAAAGACGCAGGTAAAGTTTGAAACTGAAATCCAAGCCCAAAAAATAAGCATTTCGCCTGAGAATATAACGGATAAAAACGACCACAGTGGGAGTCGAACCCACGACCTTCTGATCCGAAGTCAGACGCGCTAATCCACTGCGCTATGCGGTCTCAGTTGAAGACGCTTTGAGAATAATTATATTTATATAATATAATCTTTTCTAGATAGAAATAGATGGTAACCTCCATGCATGAGAAACAGAATCAATCATGGATGATGAGAGATTCCTAAATTGTTCATCGAACAAACAAAGGGAAAAATATATGGCGTTGATGTAAAGTTTGAGGTTCTATAGTCATAATCAAATATTAAGAGAGGTTAAATTATTACATTTCAAAGATACGATGACAAATATTTAAATTGTCGTCCCTTTTTTTGTTTATCATCTTTCTGGTAAGACCTTATGTTTTACACATCACTCGGATTAGTATTGATATCTGGTTTTATTCTTCGTTCCATTTATACAGAATGGCTTTGAGATGGTTACATTTCTCTGGTCATTGGTAAGCTTTATGTTCTTACCCTTCTTCCATTCGACTGCGAATAGGTTGTTGCAAGCCATTTGCAGTAGTTTCTTCTTTAAATGGATTAATTTTACTAGTCTCAAATTGTTCAGTGGGGATTTCAGCAAAGATCGTGCTTCATAAAAAACCATCGTATGGTAGTATTCCGATTGATTTTCGGGTACGATATCTTCCTATAAAATTTCGATAGACATTTTTCAACATAATGTGATTTCGACTTTAGTAAATGCAGGATTCTTGTTTAGTTCTGCTGTAGCTCTATCATAGTGCCTTTGAATGTAATTGTCACACAGGTTTTTTCCCTAGTCCTCAGTCCTTACAGCTCAAAATGAGAATCCCTGCCCTCACATTCCATAAGATCCGTGTGTTCACTCGAATCAATCGTTGACGACGAGAGGGATATCGTCACAGTTAGCACTTTATCGAGAAACTCGTCCATGGAGTCATTTTGCCATCAAGGGTGGCGGAGTACGTATCAGAGTCTATAAACATTAATGCACCATTGACCATCGATGAAGAAGACATTGAAGGGAAGATTTGCTCCTTTTAAATGAAAAATCACATTATTATTACATTTGGCTTTCCCAGTGAAAGAAAGAAAAGCCAAGGCAATCCCTTCTTTCCATTAACCTAAATACTATTCACATGAACGACCATAGGAATCGACTAAATCCATCTAGCATACTTTGTCCGTCATAATTAATTAATGCACCCTTTTATCACACATTAATTACATTTTACATAAACTGCCATTATCACAAATCTCACAAGCTACCAATCAAGGTCGCATACCACGGCCTGTGGACGCGGATAGACACTGTTGCGGCAACCACCAACACCTCAGCTTCTTTCACGACCCGTTTTGTTAGGGAGCCAGCCCCGACTCGACGGAGTGCCATTTCTGCTAACTGTCTACCGTGGGTACCGCTCCCCCCAAGCACAATCCCTCTAAAAGCTAAATAAACAGCGCGGGATACCCTTTCGAACACTTCATCCCCAGCTTGCAAGCCCTTTTCTAGCATCCTCGCCATGGTAGCCTTCCTCGTTTGAAGGATCTTGTCATCTGTTACTCTGTCGTCATCTCTTGAGATGCCACTGATTGTTTCAACAATCCCTTCGATCCCTGCATCTTCAACACGGTCTAAGAACTTGAAAAGCCGTTCGGCACAATTTGATGTTATCTTTTCCTTGTCAGCGGAGCTAGCTATTACTTTCTCGCTCGAGAGGAGTTGCCTAAAAATAAGAATGCTGTATATGAAAAAAAAAATTATTAGATCATTTGTTCACTCGAGAACCGGACCAGACGGGTCTGATAAAAGGCCAGGGCATATATACAAAGATACCTTGTGGATACTACAATGATCTTCTGAATCTCAGCCTGGACGCCCCTCAATCTCGAGAAGTTAAGTGTGAAGGATTCGGGCAAAGCATCTGGTCTTAGACCAGAAACTTCGCTTACTAACTTTAGCAAACCGAGCCTAACCAGTACATCAACTCTCTCTCCCTTGCACTCTGGCTGTTCATGACCTGACCAAAGAACATAAGAATCATTAACAAACAATGATTGGAGTCGTTGTCGATATCCAAAAAATTTAAATAGTTTCACATTCAAACCTGTAAAATTAGAAGCATTAGGGTCAACAGATGTCATCAGGCTTGCATTTCCGGAATTATAGTTTCCACCAGTTTTAAGCGTGATGGAAGTAAGAAGCTCCTGAGATGAACTACCGTTTGCCTTCAAAGTTGAAAGAGAATTTTGGTGTTCCCCCCACTCTTGATCTTTACAGTTCCAGATAGACGAAAACCACGACATGGTCAAGGGTAAAAATGAGTTTGCATCAGAAGGCGACCCGTAACGGTTAGCAAAACCTTTCGTAAGGTAATCCAAAGCAGCGGGTCCCTTTAACAATGGCTCCATCATCCTTATACGAGCTTTGCTTATCTCTAGCTTAAGAACCTGTCCAGAAAATGCATATTACTATACTAGAAAAGACCTAACTCAAAAGCATATGGTTAAATGCCTTTGAAACAGGTGACACAATGAAGAATCCATTCAATTAAGAGGAAAAGAAATGGAGATAGAAAAACACCTGAATCTGCTCTAGGACAAAACGTAGACCCTTGACCATTGCAAGGGCTGAGTTCTCTCTGGCTTCACAGATCTCAGCTAACTCTTTCAATAGCCTCTGGTTACCAGCCTTGATTTCACCATCATTGGCTGGAGAGGAGAGCTTCTGTAAAGTGATCAATGCAAATTCCAGAATCCTTCCAAGATAGGCAATGTCCAGATTGCCTGACTTCAGCACCTTAGAAAGGGAAAAAAAAAACAAATACGATTGAAATGAAGATAATGGCATAATGCTAATATGGAAATTGTAAAGGTATTCTAGTACCTGGGAGAGTATTTCCAGATCAATAGCATCAGTTATTTCTTCTCTCCAACTGCGAGGAGCCAACTCACAAATTTCATCCCTCACTTCCCTCACAAGCTCAATAACTCGGTCAAAATCAGGCTCATCCTGTTGCATGGATTCCATGATCCTGTCCCAGAAAACCTTCTCCATCATTTCTTTCACCTTTACCTGCAAAAACAAATATGTATTATCACATAATTATTAATTCCTATGTAAGCTTGCAAAAGTGCCAAAAGATTCATTCCAATGTCTGCTTTTTCTACTACAGACTAATTAATGATAATGCACATACCTTTATGCTGTTTTTATCTTCTTCAATGGCACTGAAGTTATCAACAAACCCATCCTGCCCATGAAGAAATTCATTAACAATCAATTCATTCTCTGTGACTATAGACTTTTCAACAGAAGAACCCAACTGCGCATCTGAATGGCTGCTGCTACTAGACACAGAGGAATCGCAAATTTTAGAAGGGGATGTGCCATTTTCCTTAAACAGAGAGCGGACAACACAGTTTGGTGTCTGAGTCAAACCACTTCTACCATCCTTTTGAGCAGTCAAAGATCTAGGGGAACCATGGGTATTTGGAGACACGAAGGACGTAAGTGGTGACCCCATCGGGCTCCCACTTTCCTTCGCTTGAAAAAAGTTAGTCCGAGTTTCAGATAATGCACATTCCATTCTTTCAATCCCAGCATCTCCACTCAAATGTTGGACTTTCTCTCTTAAAAGTTTTTGATCTTCCACAACCTGAATTATAAGAAAATTCAATAAGTATATCTGCAACATAGAGTAGAGTAGGGTAGGGACTGATTGACCGTATCATAAATATGTAGTGATTTTCATTGATAGTTCTACCAAGAATGAGACAAAAAGTGAGACCTGTCTTTGAATAGCCTTCATATCATGAGTAAGAGCAGTATTAACTCCTTCTGGAGTCATCTTACACTTTCGAATCATAGAGATCTCAAGCTGGCATGCCGCTCTTACCAAGTCCTCCTCCAATAACTGAGCATCCTTAACCTTCCACACCACAAAGCAATTCAGGTAGGAGCACCATACTTTGTCAAATGCTGTCAGCTGTGACCTAAAGGTCAAACGTCTGGGCAATGCACATCGAGATTCTTTATCAGAATTTTGTATAGGACGCTCTAAAATAATCTTTATCAACAACTCAAACTCTTGAACAAATGCTTCTGCAGACTTGGCCAAAGCAACCTCTCTCTCCCCCTGGCCACTTAAAACCGCATCAGGATGGCCCAATATCATGTATGCACAAAGAACGATCCTGACGGGATATCTTGATAATTTAGCAAGACTTTTGGCAGTCTCCCTCACTGAGGCAACTCTCTTGCCCTCTCTGCTTCTCATATAAGTCCTGGGAGTGGTCTTTCTCTTTGGAGTAGCAACTCTATTGAGAAGATGATCAATGTTATCCAAACTGGATAGATGAGTGGCAGCAGCACCAACCCTAGAGGCCTTAACGCGGCACTCAATACGATCAAGCAAAGCTTTCACAGTTTGAAGGGTAGCCACTGATTCAATCAGAAGGGCAAGTTGCTCAAATGGCATCGACTTAACAGATGTCGTATTAATTTTCAAGGAATAAAAGGCTTTTGCCAAGTCTAAAGTAGTTTTCCTCTGCCTTAGGAAGCGCCTCCAGCACCTGAATAATACAAAAGTATTACACACCATTCAGGTATTCACCAAAATGTGTCATTCCCTATAATAATCTTCTCTATCACTGCAAACGATGTCCTTCAATGACCCTTTGCAGATTATATCAGTAGATAATAAACGATACTATCAATATGAAATGTTAGTCTTATACCTTGCTAGTTTTCTAGAAAGCAAGTCGGCTTGCTTGTGCATCCCCCTATAATTCACTTGAATAGATTTATGTGTCCTTCCTCTCTGCCTCAAGTACTCTGCTCTTTGTCTCCTTGCCTTTTTTATCAATAAATTAATAAGAAAAATATAAAACATATAATGAAATATAAAGGGAAAAAACACATTTCACTTGAAACAGAGGGATCATACTATAGAAATTTTATAAGACATGCATACCCTTTGCAGTTTGTCTTCCAACTGGTCTCTCATTCTCCTCCTCTCAATCTCACGTTGATGTGAGATAGACTTACCCACTCGTCGAGCTTGCAGAAACCTAGCACAGGCTTTCCTCTTCTCTGCTTCCAGCAGTGACAGTCTTTTTTTCTCAGCAGCCACACGCTTTTGATGAATAGCAGTACGCACATGTTCCTTGTATTTACTTTCTCTAACCATCCTTCGTGACAATGACTGTGATGACCTCTCGTTTAGAGTTGCCCTTCGCTGACTGTAGGTCTTCAGGATAAGCATTCTATTTGCCTCTGCCTGCTGAAACCGTGATTCAACCTTTGTGCCAAGCTTCTCACGTTCCTTCTCAATACGCTTTTCTACACTAGTTTTTGCTGCTTGCCGCAACTCATTCAACTTGGCTAGGCGCATCTGAGCCTTTGCCAGTATGTCGAACCTTATGGTTGATCATCCACATGCATTCAAATTACGAAAGTATCAACAAAAAAAGCAGAATTTGGATTTGTTATCTGTTAAAAAGATCACACTTTGAATTCTATTTAAAAGAAATCACACTGAGAGATTTTGAGGAAAAAAATGGACAGTGCTGGATTCAAATAATAGCAGAAAGACGTAATAATTCAACAACTAATTATCATCAGAGGTAGCACGACACTAGACTTTGAATTCACCTTTTCTGCTTGGCAGCTTGGAGCCTTGCTTCAAGGCGCTGACCGGGGTCTTCCTCATTTGATGAGGATCTAGAAGGGCTTCTTGGCTTTGATCTTGCCTTGCTTGACACACTTTCAATGAATTGCTACAACCAAACAACCGCCACAGAAAGGTGAAGAGTAGTCCGTGCCAAAAAAAAAAGGTTTTAAGTTCTAGTTAATTTGACACGCATTTGATAGAATTGCTGTAAATTGGACAGATAAAAGAAATGTAGAATTGCGTAACCTCAACTGAGTTTGGCATGCACGTAAGGCTAGAATTGATGAAACAAATGATTCAAAAACGAGCGTGGAAAATTAAACATCCCAAGAAGAGCTTGCACGTGAAACAAAGTACGAAAAAAGTGCAAAATTTATTTAGGCTGCAACACCCACCCCACCCTCTTACCTAACGCAGAGAATAAAAAACGTCAAAACAAAGATTTTACCATAGGAAGGGAAAAACCTCCAAAACCTTTTAATTTTGATTTCATTTAAATACGATCCATGAAATGAGAAATAGAAACATAAACTAGATATTTTCCAGACAATAAAACAAACATGTAAAATAAATTGTGAAAAAATGCAGCAAAAATATATTTCAGTTAATTTGATCTCTTTATTTAAAATAAAGAATGGCTTAACCTAAACCACTTAGTTAGGTAGAGTTGTTGAGTTATTTTTCTTCTCCATGAGTAATTAAACTCTGAAATTCAAAATTAAAATGCGATCGAGATAAGAAAATCTCTACTTGATTTGAATTTTGAATTTTCAACCAAAAAAAAACTCTGGACTCGACTGAAATCAATCGGGTATTTCAGTTATAACAGTATATTAAATTGTAAAAACAATTCTTCAGAATTTAAAGAACGCTTCAAATTTTCTCTCCGTAACTTTTGTTTCCTCTTAATTTCTCACAAAAAAAACAATATAAGAAACACTTTCTTCTAGAAATGAATTAGAAACGTAACTTTATTTTTAAGGGAAAAAACAAAATGAAACTCGAGTTTTACCTGTCTACGAAGATCGGCGTGTCGAAGCTTGGCTTCTATTTCTTCCAAAGTGGGAGTCTTGCTCTCCGAGAGAAGCCTCTTACGAATCCTCCTCGGCACGCGCGAAAACGACGGCGTTTCACTCGCCGGAAATTCCATCACCGCCATTCTCCCACACTCCGACGACTCCATCATCATCAATTATGCATATACCGAGTTTTCACAACAAACAAGCAAGCAAACAA